AGAGAGAGAGAGAGAGAGAGAGAGAGAGAGAGAGAGAAGAAAGAAAACGAGCATCGTGGATGAAAAAGAAAACCCGGTACGCTGGTGCTGTCACCGTCGGCCGTCGGCAACAGAACAGAACAGAACAGAACAGAACAGCGGATAGGAGATAGGATAGGGATAGGTCCCCTTTGGAGGAGGATCGCCTCTCGCTCGCTCGCACACCGAGCACCGAGCGCCGAACGCTGCCGAAGGCCGGCGCGATTACCACCGGAAACAGCCGAAACGCGGACACACTGTCTGAACGTCACGTAGGCAGTGTTGCTAGGCGGTCGACCGGTGGCGAAGGATGGCGCGGAGAGAGGGGCGGGTAGCTTTAACGGGGTGGGAGCCCCCCCTCGTATAAAAGTCGCGTCAGCGGCCGCCGGCTGATCAGTCGAGTACGTGACGTTCCGCGAATTCGAGGTACGGTGCATCTACCGCTTTGCGTATAACTACGGTGAAAGTCTCATCTTTTTTTTTTTCCCGAACATCGCTGATACTATTCCATCGTATTGTTCGAAACCGCTTCTCTATCGTGTTTCCGATATTCGTATATCTCATTCGTTGCTTCCGCTACACTATTGATTACCGAAAAAAAGATCGCGTTGTCGTCTCGCGGAGGGACGAAGCCGACGAGGAACGTCATACCATTGTGTTGGCTTTTCATCCATCGGCACCGCTGGACGTTCTCGCGAAATCATGGAGGTCCTGCCGTGTCCCGTCAACGTGGACTTTAGCAACACCAGAGGTAAGTACTCGATCCTATGTCATGTTGCCGATTCTCTTCCCAATTGTTCATTTTCTCCCGTTTTCGTCCCGTTTCAAGCGTCGATCTCCGTTCTTCGATCGTTGGAGCCGCTGTTCTCAGCTGACAACGCCGGTTGGAATCAGCTGATCTTTGCTCGCGGCACGATTCGTTTCGACTGATGAACAGCGCGACAAATTTATTTCAACTTTTAGAATGCGAACGGAAAATGGCAGATTTTATGAGATTTATTCGGCAAAAACTCGAATAGTTGTGTCAGTATTCAGTATCCTTCTTTCGATGATACGAGATACGAGGGAGAAAAGAAGGGGATGCCCTTCGATATTGTTTTTCCTTTCTATGTTCTTCGATTGTTCTTATTGTGCGTTTACATGCCGCTTACAGATTATCTTCGTCATATTTATAAATGGAAATTTTCCAGATATTTAAACGTTTTGTAATCTTGCGCTAAATAACTACCGAATTAACGAAAGAATACGTATGCAAGATTGTGTTTCAGAGATAAATTGCCTTTTTTAAAATAGAGTAAAAATATAAATATGTTGCTGCGTTTAACGTGACATAGGAAATATGACAAAATTAGAGTATCTTTATAAATAAACTCATCGCGTCTTGCAACTTTGTGTTAGTTTTGCGATTTTCGATTCGACGATGGTGATGGAAATATGTATTTCGAGAAATGTTAGAGCTAAAAAAAGCTGGATTGTTTAAATAAAATGGAATGATAGTTTTACTAAATTACTTTTACTAAAATTGCAATAAAGATGTGTAAGAATCGAGGTCAAACGGAGTTCATACGTTACCGACAACCTCGCCTCGTCTTAGCCGGTTGCTAGAAAGAATGAGCGAAGCGAGCACGGAATTATTGGTCGAGTAGTTGACGCGTGAAAGAAACGGAAATGTCATTATAGTTGAAATATATTATTTTCAATCTCTCATTTTCAGGCGCTCTCTCTCTCTCTCTCTCCTCCCTCATTAGAATAATTGATATTGAAAGTCTCGAGTGAGGTGAGAGAACTGGTGATCGGTGTTGCGTCAGCATCTTTTCTGACGACAATTCTTTGTGATATTACACGCTTACAGATGTCCGTTTTGAAATAATAAAATGATGATCTCAGCACACGCGCGCTTAATTCACCGAAAGATCACAGCTGACAATGAGATCGAGAAAAATAATTATATATATAATGCTTAATTTAAAACTAAAAATACATAATACTTGAAACTTTTAATCCGAGATGAAAATCAATATTATAAAACGTGATCGAAATTAAATTGGTTTTAAAGATTACATTCGAATGGAATAGCACGTATCATGAATCATCAAGAATCAAAATATGTTTTTCGTTTAACTCCGTGCGAGTTTTCGATTGCTTTCACAATCCAAAGATATCGATCGATTAATGTTACTTTAAGATTACGTCAGTTTACACTTTTATACTTTGGAAGAGAGATATTGTACACTCGCAAAGCATTCTAGACTTGCCGGTGTATACGTTTCAGCTATTGTGACGCTCCGATATTTTCTCGACAAAAGTCGAGAAAGAAAATTAAATTATTTATTATCCCAAATATACAGCTAACAATCAACGATCTTTAATCAGAAATAATTAATTAATGCCATGTAATTTGATTCTACATTCTAGAGTTTACTTCGACCAAAGTTTTAGTCGCGACAAAAAAATAATTGGTAAAAAATAATTAGTTAAATATATTAAATATTATTATAATAAAAGACAGAAAATAAAAAGAAAAAATAATTTACATCTTTTCAATGGATCACGTTTTAAAGACAATGTTACATTATCACTTTACGCGATATAAGGACAAGGTGAACATGAGCGCTCAATTCTATTTAATTAATTGTTATAGCTGGAAGTACGACGGACGAATTGGACGGTGCTTGTCAGGCGCTGGCAAAGAGGCTGGAAGTCGAGCTTAGGAGGGCTAAACACGCCCAGCTAGCCTGCGGCGAGGTTCTTCTACCGGCCAATTTGCTGCCTAAGGTAGCCAAAGACGTACTTACTATGGCAGAGAACGAGCCCTGCGGCCTTAGGTAAGTAGAGAATCTTTTCGTATCGCTACGATCCCCGTTAAAATCCGGAAAAATTCCAACGATTCAATATAATTCGAGAGTTCGAATAAACATTATTTCGTGCAACAAATGTCCATTTAGAAAGTGTAACGTGTTTTCCCCAAATTATCTTTCACGCGAATTATTTTAAATGTGATGATTCTAATATATATGAGATGTTTGGAATGCAATCTTTTCTTTGTCGTAATTTTTAACTCGCAAATAAATAAAATATTTGGTCACTCATTTATTAAAGTTTGACACCGAAAATTTAAAAAAAAAATGTTAAAATCTTCTTTAGAATAAATTTGTGGTAAAGCAGATGTTTCTTTATAAATGAAGTTTTAAAGTTTGATATATACCGTTTAAATTTTGTCGATGTATATGTGTGTGTGCGCGTGCGTGCGTGCGTGCGCGCGCGCCTGCGTGATTAAGAAATTAATATGTGTTTAATATAATTTGTTGCAGGGGCTGCACGCTATTCATTAGTTTCGAGACAGACAGCATGTGTCGCAAACTGTCGAAAATACAATGCGATCCGAGTGCTGTGTCGACGTTCGAGCTCTATCTCACATTGAAGCAAGACTACACGTCCTGGCACATGCTGCTACCTCAGTTCTTAAAGTGAGTATACTTCATGTAGTAGAGTCTTGCAATTAGAATTTGAAACTATTTTAAATTGCTTTTGTGTTAATAATGATTAAATATTCGAAAGTTTTCTCTATTCTGTTCTATATGAACTATTGTCTGAGTGAGATAACATTCTTTAATAAGATAAATCTTGTTGTTTCGCTTCTTAAATTAGCTATCGTTGTTCGAATCTTTATTTTAGTTAAATGAAACGATGTTACGATAAGATCTGTTTTACTTAAATCATATAATTGGATCGCGTATAATAATCATAGTCTATTCAGTCTTTCACACAAACATTACAACATTTTTTTTCAGAAATCTCACGCGCGGCGGTACCATCATGATCAGTAGGGACTTCACTCTGGAGAAGAAGAAACTCTACAGATCCTATCAGCAGTCTCATTGAAGGATTTCGGATCACAAATTTTGCACACGTTTTTCACCCGTTTTTTGCCTATGCGCGTAAACGGATGCGGCCACACATTCTTGTCAGTCTGTCGCCCTACGGGCGAATGTCAGCTGAATTTGTACAATATCGCAAGACCAGGGGAAGAAGAGATTCTAAGGATAACGGAAGCAACGATGCAGACCAGAGGTTAGACTTTTGTCGTTGTAATGACACGCGATCGCGAGGTTTTGCGTTTAACCCTTTAATCAGATAAATATGCGTTTGGATTTTCTATACAAAGCCACATTTCATTTTGGAGAGAAGTTTACTCTTGCGCGAAAAAGATTGTCGTGAATTCGAGAGAGATATAAAGTAATTTATATGGAAACATCGTTTTATACAGTTGCAGTGAATGCGACTGTCTTTCGAAAAATCGGATCTTGTGTCGAGCGTCTAATAATGTGTACATTTAATAATTCGAAAATTTTGGCGACGAGCGGTTTAACAAACCGAGATCTAAGGAATTAAGAATCCAGAAATTTCAGAATCTACAAGATTTTATAAAAGAGTTTGATATATATGTCGAGTTATTACACAGGAATTCTAAAAACTACAAGAATGATTTTTAAAACACATAGAGAGAATTTAAGAATCCAAGATAACGCCGAAGAATACGAGAACTAAATCGTCTGCGATGTCGAAGATTGCGTAGAATTTAAGGTACTTTCGGAGTCTAGTGGTTTAGATCTGGAATTGGAGGATATTGTAACAATAAGAAGTTTTGATGAATTTAATAAGAGATTTTCATTGTTAAGCAGCGAATCGGTTAAAGGGTTTAACGACAACATCACTCTTTATTTTGTCCGCTGTCGCCTTGCAATATTATATCCAAGGAGAGAGAGGCCTATGCATACGATAATTGTGATAGTGCGAAACAAATTCTATAATATATAGTAGCAGCAGCAGCAGCAGCAGATCTTATCGCGAGGAGATGCCCTCGCGTCTTCGTTCTCGAAGAAGAGATATGTGATTATAAGACTTGTAACAAATTTCACGTGATATGTAGCGAATATAATTAATAGTTTTAGGGAGAGAGAGAGAGAGAGAGAGAGAGAGAGAGAGAGAAAGTGAGAGCGTTTTACTGATTAATCATAGTCGGGTAGCTATAGTCGCGTCGGATGTGTTTAGCGATGATCTTTCGAAGCTTGCATGACAAGTGAGCGCACATTGTCCACTTTTTTTCTTTGCAAAATGCGAAGTGATCATGTTGAAATAATGTGGCAGTGTTTTCCAATGTAAGAATCTCCTTCATGGAGATCTCTTGCAGGATAGCCCAGAAGAGTGGGTAACAAGACTGTTATTTCGTGATTAATTTAACTGTTAACATTAACGTTTAAAATGATTCGATTTTATAACCGAAACATTTTAAATTAGGAAAAAAGTGCAAATTTAAAACTCACAATTAATTTTTATATTTTCGATTGAACTCCCGAGAAAGAGGATTTATCTTCTTTAAAAACTATATAGCAAAAGTATATTTCAACAGTGTGTTTACACAGTGCGCACACTTTTCTGGGACATCCTGTACCTCGGTTGATACAGATGATGGTACAGATCATCAGTCCATTTCATCATTCCATCTTTCACCGAACTTTCCCCCTTATTTCTCCGTCATTTTCTCCCTTCATAACAAGTCGCTGTATGAAAAATCTCATTAGATTAAAATAATAACGTTCTCTCTCGATGCTGATAATCATCACGCTAGATATCACTGATTAACATGTTGATAATCATGCCGCGCGAACGTGTGATTTGTTTCAACTTGTTCAAATCGTCCAACTTGTATCGAGAGCTGCGCGCTTTCGTTTTCGATTTGTACCAATTGGTTTTCATCTAAATTTCTATATTTTGTAAAATTTTGTTTTAATGAAATTCTGCGAATATACGAATTATTTTTCGATAAAACATGTGCGTTGATGAATATTTACTCGTCGTTGAAAACTTGGCGAGAAGCGCGGTACTTGTGGATCTCGTCAAAGATTTTTCGTTCGTTGGAATATTTCTAATCATATCGAGAGGATTTCTCAATGAAATAAGAGTTGAAAAAGCGGTGCAATTTCGAATACTTCAGAGTAGTAACAAATCTAAAATCGAGAGTTAAGCCAGAAAGGAAAATTGATCCTACTGTGTAAAACAATTGTATAAAAAGATAATTGTATAAAATAATATACAAAATAATGACGTAAACTTGTGTGTATATATGTATATATATATATATACACACGCATATATATCTACTAGGCTATAGATGTGATTGAGTTATACATCTTAATATAATCTAAAAATTGATTCATCTCGAAACTATATGGCTTGACTACTCTCTACATAATTTTTCAAACAGAGAAAGATTTTCAAATAGAGAAATAATGATGAACTGAGCTCTCGCGCTCCTCGTTTCACGCGCTGGGTGAAAAGGGGCGAAGCGGACACTCGGGTTAGATTAATGCTTCGCCATTGAACTATTGTTTAATCTTTGCTTCAGTTTGTCATATTATTATTATTCGTTGACTACCGTACGTACTACTACATACGTTGTGGTTAATATCTATTCATGTTTCCTTTGTGTATCTACATTTTTTATTTCTTTACTCCTTTTTGTTCATTTTTTTTAGTTCGCTTATTGGTCTTTTCGCTTCGTCGTTTAAATGCGATTAAAGATCTTAGTAGCGGTATTGTGATATTAAGAATTATAAAGAGTAATTAAGAGAGAGAGAGAAAGAGAGAGAGAGAGAGAGAGAGAGAGAGGAGAGAGTGCGTGATTATCGTTAAGGTTTAGATTAAGGACATTCGTTTCGTGAGGCTTCCTTCGCGGGATCGAGAGAAATGCGTTCGTTGCGTGTAAAATGTAGAGTTGTAGAGGAATACGAGCGCCCAATGTTACCTACGCGCGCGCGCACGAAACCGGAGTCGAAAATCTCTTTGTGGTTTATTTACAAAGGATGGCAACGTTTTAACCGGTCGAATCGAGAATAGTTGGTTCTCCTCTTTCGAATTGAATTAAAACGAATCTCGCGCGACGAGATTCGATGGGATTACATTTGGGGGCGAAGGGGGAAGGGGCCCGTTTCTCGATAAAACTTGATAAAACGGAGCCGTCTCTCTTTCAATGAAGACTTTCAATGAAAGTCAATGAAGCGTAAATGCTCTTGCAATAAAATTCACCGTTTGAGGGAAACTTTATGAATGGAGAGAAAGAAAGAGCAAAAAATATTATTTGTATATATATATGTTATTTTTTTATATACATTGGAATAAAATATAATTTTTATTGACAAACTTGAATTTTTTGGCATAATCCGATAATAAAATTTTAAAATTTGTCTTCTATATTTCAAAAGCTTATTACTTTTTTTATAATTAAGGGTTTAAACTATATAATCTCATAAAATTAGAATGTGTAAATTAAGCTTTTTTTTTCAGAATCTAAAAATAAGATCTCGCGAGAATTTTTTATACAGCATCTTTTATGATCTCGAAAATCTTGTAGATTAAATCATTTGTTTAAATTTTAGTCTAAAAATAAATTGAAATTTATATTCCATTTTATTGAAAAAATATATAAAATTAAATAATAATATGAAAAAATTTAATATAAGTAATAATATAACTTCGATGATACATATATACACACACATTCATCAATATCAATATTTAATCAAAAAATACGTATTTTTCGGTTGTTTATTATAGAATTCAAGAAAAAAACAGTTTATGAAAACGATTAGTACTTGAAAATTACAACCGTATACAAGTTTAATATGTCTCGTTATTCAAATTCTCATTAAAGATCCAAAGTTAAAGCGATTTTGGTCATTTTATTGAAAAGAAGTCAAAATTTAAAATGTCAACACTTCGAAATGAGAAATAATGAATTTACGACGAGTTCAAAACTTGTCTCTCAATGACCTAAATCCTAAATGATGGAATTGAACCGGTTAAAAAGGTTTAAGGGAGAGAGACACAATCCCGTCCAGAAAACTTTTTCCCATCATCCTTCGAGTCGTACATACATTTACATCCCCTTACTTTTTTTGCGAGGATAAAAAAAGGATGAAAGACATAATTAAAAATCGAACACAAGTGAGGCACAGCCACGTGGTTAAATAAATGCACGGTGTAAAATTGGGCTATTGTATTTGCACGAAGGTGTAAGACTGATTTGCTGAGATGACTTTACGAACGATGCAGAAATGTTGCCCGTTTCAAACCAGTCGGCACTTTATTGTAATACAGTGTGACTATAGAAAATTATTTTCCGAAAGGAGACACACTATCTAGAAAGATGATAAAAATTATTTCACGATAAGATACATGATATAAAGAAAAAGTTTTTCTTTTATTATTATAATTATCCACGTATAAATATCGATGTAAAAGAGAATCAATAATCTTTCCGGGAAATGATATTTGACGGATACTGTATATATTAACATGTAAATCACTGTAATCGGCAATTATTTGTTACAATAATAACAAACGCTACAAACAACGACGTCGCAAGTCGATTAATTGTTTTGCGTTGTAGAGGTAGAGCGACGGAAAGCAATACTCGCGGTTTCGTTCAATTGTTATTATCAGTTCGTTACGAATGCGTGTGGGTGAGTCATACGAATGTGCATACATTTTGTATAAAGTATAAAGTATTAATCATTTAAAATAGTTCTTTTTTTATATAAAAATGCAAAACCGATTTGAATGATGTGTATATATATTATCGGATATAATATAATTTATATTATATTGCCGCAAATATCGTATAATCTATAATGATATATTTTATAAAACAAATTCTCCAAGTATTGTGCGAAGTAAAAAAGTCAGATGTGAGAGCTATTAAAAGCTTGAAAACCACAAACTTTGTGATTTACTTTATTTATATATGCAATTTTATAATTGTTATATGTAGTGTGTATGTAAGAAAAAGAAAAACTCTGTAAAATTTTGAAAACTTATTAAAGGGAGAGACCGTCAGAGAGACGGTCAATGGTTAAATATGTATGGATGGAATAATTTATATACTTTCTGAAATATGTCACATCACGATAATGTGGAATATGATATAAAGACGAGAATCCTCATTAATTGCGTTTTTACGATGTGCAAAAATTTTATTACAAATGCAAAAATTTATCTCTTTTTTTTTTGTATAGAATTACTCCTACAAAGCATTAAAAAAATGCAAATTTTTTTCTAAAGGAAAAAAGGCAACATTATGAAACACACACGCACACACACACACATACATACATACATACACACACACACACACACACACAGAAACACACACACACACACACATATATATATATATACACATATAATGATACTTTTTTAAACGTATCTTTGGTGATCCAATGCGAGGGACACATTATAGAACTGAAAGAAGTCCAAACGATAACAATAACAATAATTCGATTACCGAGATGATAAGTTACAGTAACGAACATGCTTGATTGATTGTATCTGCGGTTTATCGTTTGTAGCGATTGTTTGTTGACAAGGTAAACGTTGGCTCGTGGCTCAATCTGCAAAACAACACATGTTACGCATGTCGGTGTTGCAAATTGCGTTACATTACAGGAAGACGCGCTCTCGTCTCACTCCCACGCGAAGTAATAATTTTTTTCTTTTTTTTTACGAACTGTCTCACGAAAGAATTTCCTGATCTCATGAGCGATTCAAAGCGAAATGGTTTATCATCTGCATATGACTATAAAGTACGCGAAAGATTCTTCAAATATCGCATAATCGCATTGCGATAATGGCCAAGTGAAATGTTTAACCTTAAACAGCATGAAATATATTTTTAATATTATTATACATATATACGAAGCTTCAGAGAGAGAGAGAGAGAGAGAGAGAGAGAGAGAGAATCTTTCTGAGAGATTCAGTTATTAAACAATTGAAGACCCGCAGGTTGCAAAAACTTATTCAAGAATCTATCAATCGATGATAATCTTTTTCTTTCTTCTCTTAAGGTTTCAGATTTAGAAAGGCTTCTTTTTTATACTGTTTAGGGTTAAACGTTAGGTCACCATGAAGTCGAATGATCGATGGAAGCGCGTTCTTCACAGGAAAAAAAGGAAAGATGTAAAAGATGTGAGAATGACAGTTTCTCGTATCTCGAGGATAGAAAGAGAGAGAGAGAGAGAGAAAGAGATATTTCGTGTAATGTTGCACAGCAATGATTTGCGTGACGCTCGCTGTGCTTTGAATATTTTTGTACCTTGCGCGATATATATGGAAGTCCGATTATACGTAGTTTCCGCGCGATAGTTTGCTCGCGATTAATGTCGCGGTTTTTTCAATATGTGAATAATCCTTTGCAAACATATTTTCCGTATTAAGGACCGCTATGTGATGTTATTTCTAATTATTTATAATATCTATGACAATTTATCTGCGTTCAAGGGAAACGCAAATAATAAAAAAAAAAAAAAAAAGATATATAAATCGGAGAATGGTGTGTTAATTATTTGCTTCCTCTCATAATTATTTATTCCTTTTATATCGTTTTGAGTTTTTTATATAAAGATCGTGAAATTTTTATTTTTATGTCGTGTTTTACAGAAAAATGAGCACGAGAGAAATTAAAATGAGTTATCTATTGCATGACGAAGGATATTTTTCCATTTAAAAATAGGATAAAGATAAATAAATATGAAATTGACAAATAAATATTGTTTTTTTGTAAAATAAAGTTGTATGTTCCCCGAAGATAATATAAACTAAACTATGGTAAACTCACTCTATGGTATAAACAAGGTGTCGGAAAAACGATGATTTATTTATGAAACTTTTTTCGTTAACAACTTTTTAATAAACGATGAGCGATGGCTAACCTTTGGATTGTTGCTCAGGAGGATAATCTTTATAATATATATGAAGAACAAGGTTATATTGGAGTTGCCTCTCCTAAACAAGACGAAACTTTACCTAAACTATTTTAAAAATAATACAGAGATGCAAATCTCGGATTTGTGCATAAAAGAATAATTGAATGCAAAATATAAACTTGATTAGTTAAATTAATTACTCTATTTATAAACCAAAAAAAAAATCTATAATGAGTTTCTTTATTTAAAAACAAAAGAAAAAAAATTGGGAAATACACAATTCTATAACAAATACCTGAAAAAACATACATGTTTCAAAATATTTTTCAAATTGTTGGAATCGATCATAATTGACTTCAAATTCGTCAGAATTTGTTATTAAAGAATAATACATCCGAACTGTGCGAGGTGTACGATGCGCAAACAACAACATATAAATATGTCGACGTAGCGAGAAAGGAGCTGTTATTGCTCGCGAGAAATGTTTTCGACATCGATATTTGCACACAGTTTGGAAATAAAATATGCATAAAATTTAATATCGATCGGATAAATTGGCGATAAGTAAATCATCAATAACGAAAATATATTTGTAAGGTGTGTGTGCATACACAACGCGCCGATATATGCATATGTATAATCAGTGCGTTTGTGTAAAGCGCATTTTGGATGAATTAATAAATATTGGACAAACAAAAAATACAAGAGCGATGCGTATAGAGATGCTTATAAAACGTGAAGGAGTGTGTGAAGCCTGGACTGAAATTCGAAGCGCGATGTGTTGAGGTTGAGGGGGGAGAGCCGCGTATTGTTTCAACTAGTTGCCGCAATTATCACGGCATACAAGACTGGATAGGAGAAACCGGTTTCGCGCGCGCGAACACGACCCGTTTGTCCGTATTTCCATCTTGAAAACTCGTATTATCGCCACCAACCGTGTTCTCCCCTCTCTCTCTCTCTCTCTCTCTCTCTCTCTCTCGTGAAAAATTCTATACTGCATAATAAAGCGTAAACCGGATCGCAAGTAAGATTGCGCAAGTTTTGTCGATCTTGGAGCGTTTCTCGTTCGACATTTTGCAAACTATTACGCGCGGGTCGCGATTCCCCTACGCGTCCCTATATATATATTTTTCTTCTATATATTTTATTTATACGAAATTCTCTTTTATATACAGAAGGAGAGTGCATCGCCTCGATACTACAATAATATCGTAGATAAGGATTTCTCCAACAGCTTCGTGATTTTTTTCTCGATGCTTTTAATTTTTAATAGAAGGAGGAAGGAGTTAGTTAACGACGAGAGAGTTATTTAATGGTAGCATATAAAAAAGTATACTTTTCCATCATGTTTAAAGTTAAATATTTTTGCGATTATAAGCTTTAAACTGCGATTCCGTCAAAGTAAAGTCTGTTTGAAGTTTAAGTAAATAATAAAGAATACACAACTTTAGTAAATAATATTAAAAATAATTATCTCCACTTTTAATAATATGAGAACCTCTCTTTCTCCTTCTCTCTCTCTCTCTCTCTCTCTCTCTCTTTTAACGTATCCTACGTACATAATATATACATATATTTATACATATATGTGCGACTTCGTGTTAATAGCTTGAATATGTTCAATGAGCTAAAATTAATGAGAACGCGCTTCTCGGGACATCTGTGTCCAATTTGCTGGCAAAAGAGTTCTGGCTTCTGGCCTGGCACGTATCCGCGAACGATCGAAAGCGTCCGGACGCGCGTCCTCTTCCTGAGATCTGGGATATCAATAATGCGTAAAGGGTAATTCTCGAGTCGCGCGCGATAACGGGCTGGCAACTAGGTGACCGTGCGCTCACAATCAGCTGATGGCCGGTATACCCGGTGCGCTTGCGCGCGCGCACACATTCAGGGACACGCACACGCGCGTATCCGCCTACCGTTTTCTCGCTAATGAGAGTCGGCGCTGGTAGACGACTTGCCGCTTCGAGAAAAATGTTATGATTGAAAAAAAAGAGCAAAGTGCAAAATAAATCTTTTATGATGTGTTTAAAAAAAGTAACGTTATCTTTCTAGCTAGAACGTAGGAGGATCTTGATGTACGGAACTTTTTCCAAAACGTAATGGCCAAGGAAATGGAGTATCTTCTCGGATATCACGTTATTTGAATAGAGCTCGTCGTCGTTTGCATAGGAATTCCTCGGTCACTCGGATACTAAATGTAGATATAAGAAATCGCGGCGATTGTCGATATTTCAATATTGTTCGTGTTGACGTCAAGTGTTATGTTTAGCGAAAACCGCAGAATTAATAACAAGGCTGTTTTTTTTCGTGACATCGGAGAGAACAGTTTCTCTTCATTCTATCTCTCGCGCAGTATGTTTTCCTTCGAGCAGCAAAGTTTCTTTTTATAAATCGAATGGCACCAACAAATGATTAATTCAATCCGATTTAACACGCTAAATTTTTATACTCATTATTTATCGTTATCTCCTCTCTATATAATTATTAAAGAATAACCAAAGAGAAATACTATCTCCATTTCTTCATATTTTCTGCAAATATCTTACGTTAGAAGTATAAAAGTAAAAAAAAAAAAAAAAAAAAAAAAAAAAAAAAAAAAAAAATAGAAAAAACTGCAACATATATTTTGTTTTATTATTCGTATCAATACTTTCAGATTAGTATAGGATCAATGTCAAGTGTAGTCCTGTAGTTTAGCAACGCGATGGAAAATAGTGATATATGTATATAATATATCTATTATTTACTTTTCTTTTCCGTTATCCGCAGAATGACATTGGATATTCTAGTTCCAAGCTATTGATACGTAAAATCCAGATGAGTATCAGCGGTGGCCCTCACTGTTTAGCGTTCTAAATAAAACGACTATATCTTTTCGTGTGTGTACCGCTAATAATAATGTAATAGGGAAAAAATTTGGTCAATTAAAGATAAATAAGAGAAAAATGAAAGAGAGATATATCAAGTTAAATAAAATTAAAAAATAAAAGAATATTTGAATAAAATTAAATAAAGGATAAAGCTAAATATCAAAAAATATCAAGTTTAATTGTTAAAAAGTTTAAACAAAAAATATATTGTAGAAAATATAAACTCTTCATTAATTTTTATTACCAGAATGATCATTTCTCTCTCTCTTTCTCTTTTCTCTCGAAAACGTGATGACTCTCTTCCTTACTCGAGGGTCGGTTTGCAGTTACTTTGGCTAATTTCATGCACGCATGTAACACACGCTCGTACAACGCGTAAGAGCGTTTATCGTTTGCATGCAAGTTCGTTTACCCCGATGCCGATGTAATAATCGCCATCCCTTATCTTGCCGTTTCCCGCAGTGCTCTCGCTTTCGCGTTTCGATCGCAGCGTTCCGCACCGATCGAGATATTCTAATCCTCCGCTTCTATGGCAAAAATTACATGATATTTTTGTCCGCGATTGAGATAATAGAGAAATAAAAACTAGGAGTAGCTAATTTCAAAGAAGAGAGAAACAATTATACAAGCTTCTATCTTTTTACTGTACAAATGGAAAAATAAGAAAAGATATCATGTATATATATGAAAATTCTATAAAGTGTGCTATATGTAAAACTCTGGTGTAAAATTTAATTGCGATTAATGATTTATACAAGATAAATAGCGGAAATATCTAGTACAATAGAAAAGAAGATCATTTCTCGTTTAAAAATAAGTCGAAAGTAGAAAAAGATACAACGTTCTTTGTATACTAAAAAAATGAAGTTTTTCTTAATGCTTTTTTCATATCCAATTTTTTTAGAAACCTAAATTATTTAAAATTTTTGTACTAAATGGAATATATTGTATTTTTGTGTGTGTGTGTGTGTGTGTGTGTGTGTGCGCGCGCGCGTGCGTGTGTATATGTGTGTATATATTAATAATCGCTGTCGAGGTAAATTCAATGTGATTATAATTACATAGGCATGTAATTGGTGGTCATTCATTATACTTAAAAGAGCATAAATGATATTATTAATTTTCTAAATTTCAGAATCAATTTTCGCAAGCAAACGCAGTGTCATACGAAAAAAATTTATTCTATATTTTTGCATGAGCAATCATCTGCTTTTTGATTGTATTACATTTTCCTACCATTCTCTTATGTTTATATATGTGCAAATTTTTTATATCTTTCATAATACACATGACATTTCTTTGTTCGTATTGACGTGACTCGCCCTAGGATAATAATAAATCCATTTATCTCTCTCTCTCTCTCTTTCTTTCTCTCTCCCTCTATTTACTTGGGTTCCCCTATTATACATAACGCCATGATCCAAACTTGAAACACATCTTCAACCATTGAACCCTTTTCGGAGTTCACGTTTGCGTAATAAATGGGCAATCTGCCCATAGTCTGTGACCAGTCGCTCTATTTTCATTTTAGCAAAGGCGTATTACATACAAAAATTTGCGTACCGTGTTAGAGATTGGTCCAACACCGGATTTTGACGCGAATTATTTTTAGCCAAGAAGATAATGATCTTTCGTGACGATCGATCAACGTCAACGTATACGTATATGTGCATATACACTACGGGCCAAGGATTTGCGAAATACCGTGACAATGAGGAGAACGTGTTGCTATGACAGTAA